CAATGCAAGCCTCTTCTCCCACTCTTCACACACTGATAGCAACACCGCTGGAGAAATGCCAGCACAGGCTTCCAGTATCTGTAGTTTCAGGTGCTGCACATCTTGTATCTTCACACCATAGACAATTGCCTTCAGATGACCTCAAAGATAAAAGTCAAAGGGGGTCAGATTGGGAAACCTCGAGGGCCGTTCAGCTGGCCCACAACGACCAATCCACTTTTCAGGAAACTGTTCATCTAGGAATGCTCGGACCTGACACACATAATTTGGTGGCGCATCATCTTGCTGAAAAAACTCAGGGAACGTGCCAGCTTCTGTGGTTAAAGAGGGAAACACATCTTCTTGTTGCAATTTTTATCCACTATATTTAAAATATCCAGTGGCCTTGAGGTTTCCTTTGATGAATAATGGCCACACTACCTTTATTGTCTATTGTGTGAAGATACAAGATGTGCAGCACCTGAAACTACGGATACTGGAAGCCTGTGCTGACACTTCTCCTGCAGTGTTGCTATCAGTGTGTGAAGAGTGGGTGAAGAGGCTTGCATTGACAATCCAACACAATGGGCAGCACATTGAACACATTTTATAAGGGGTCAGAAACTTGTAAATAATTTATGATAGAATAAAGGTACATTAAAACCAAACCCACCATTGTTTTTCTTGTGAAATTCCCAATAAGTTTGATGTGTCAAATGACCCTCTTTCTATTGAAAAAACAAAAGTTGGATCCAAGATGGCCGACTCCAAATGGCCACCATGTTCACCACCCATCTTGAAAAGTTTGCCCCCTCACATATACTAATGTGCCACAAACAGGATGTTGATACCACCAAAAATTCTAATTTTATTATGGTGTATCCATATGAATGGCCCACCCTGTACTGTATAGGATGGAGGTATGCGGCTTCAGATTTCGGATGCAGCCCCAGTCAGAGTCAAAAACTCTCCTGTGATTTTTTTTTTCGTTTTTTTTTATATTTCCCAAATGATGTTTAATAGGGCGAGGCAGTGGCGCAGTAGGTAGTGCTGTCGCCTCACAGCAAGAAGGTTGCTGGGTTGCTGGTACGAAGTTGGTGTTTCTGTGTGGAGTTTGCATGTTCTCCCTGGCTTTGCGTGGGTTTCCTCCGGGTGTTTCGGTTTCCCCTACAGTCCAAAGACATGCGGTACAGGTGAATTGGGTAGGCTAAATTGTCGGTAGTGTGTGTGTGAGTGTGGATGTGTGTGGATGTTTCCCAGAGATGAAACTTGCTGGATAAGTTGGCGGTTCATTCCGCTGTGGCGACCCCGGATTAATAAAGGGACTAAGCCAAAAAGAAAATGAATGAATGAATGTTTAATAGAGCAAGGGATTTTTCACAATATTTTCTATAATATTTTTTCTTCTGCAGAAAGTCTTATTTGTTTTTATTTCGGCTAGAATAAAAGCTGTTTTTAATTTTTTAAACACCATTTTAAGGTGTTTAATTTATTTTAATGGTATTAGCCCCCTTAAGCAATATTTTTTCGATTGTCTACTGAACACATCACTGCTATACAATGACTTATTATGCCTAATTACTCTAACTTGCCTAATTAACCTAGTTAAGCCTTTAAACGTCACTTTAAGCTGAATACTAGTGTCTTGAAAAATATCTAGTCAAATATTATTTACTGTCATCATGACAAAGATAAAATAAATCAATTATTAAAAATTAGTTATTTAAACTACAGTATTATGTCTAAAATTGTGTTGAAAAAAAATATTTCCGTTAAACAGAAATGGGGAAATATATATATATGTATATACAGGGGGGGATAATAATTGTAATAATAATAACTGTATATCTGTAGTCTGTGTGCTAAACCAGCGCCTCCACGCACACACAGCACATTAATGTTTCATGGCCTCCAATTCATTTCCGCCTCTGAAATCCCCTTACAAGGGCACTTAGATTGATTCTCTGGCTAAGAGATTAAGCAGCTCTTGAATGAGTGATCAGATTAGAGGAAGTGTGTGATTTGTCCTCATCTGTTTGTCTTTTTGTGTGTGTTTCTCCTCAGTGTGTTGGAGGCTGAACAGACGGACTCTTCACTCTTATGTCAAGCAGCAATTAAAGCAATTTTCGCCCTTGGAAGTAAGTGTCGTCCTCTCTGTTTGAGATTTTTCATTAGATTTTTTTTTTATTAATATAATTACTAACAACTCCAGTGCTGCAGGAGCTCGGGTTTCACTGCCTTAAAGGAGCAGTTCAGCTAAAATTAAATTAAATTGAGCGTGTGTTGAAAGTGTTGAAATAAATTACCCTAATAATTAAAGCTATTATTTATCCACCAAGCTCGTCGGACGTGCAGTGCAGAAGACAGATTTTTTTAATATAAAAAATATTATGTATTGAAGGCCAGCTAGCGAAGTGCTATATAGGTAAACCTCACCATGGCTTATACCCTCCTTGTTAGAGCAATATACACCCATGCAAAGAACTGCCGGTATGATCCTAGCTCAGATGGGTGCAGTAGCACTGGTGGGTTACACGTGGGGGCCCGTCCGGGATGGGAGTGATTTTTAGAGGGGTGAGTGTAACAGAGTCCAGCTAGCAAAGTGCTTTGCATGTAAACCTCACTCCTTTGTCCTCTAAAGGTGCTTTAGTGACAGACGCTATAAAGGCCATGATCTTTAGCCCTTCTTGTTAGAGCAGCCAACTCCCATGCAAAGAATCGCCAGTTTGATCCCAGCTCAGCGCAGGTAGGGTACAGCAGAACCGGTCGGTTACATGTGGGGGCTCGTCAGGGATGGGAGTGAGGTTAAGGGGGATGAATGTTACGTAAGCCAGCTAGCGAAGAGCTATGCAGGTAAACCTAACTCCGCTGACCTCTTAAGGTGCCGTAGTGACAGACGCTAGAGGCCATGTTCTTTAGCCTCTTTGTTAGAGCAACCGATTCTCATTCAAAGAAACCCCAATTTGATTCCATCTCAGGCTGGGTTTGCTGCAGTAGGACCGATGGGTTACACGTGGGGGCTCGTCCGGGATGGGAGTGAGGTTTAGGGGGGTGAGTGTAATAGGCCAGCTAGTAAAGTGCTATACAGGTAAACCTCACTCCTCTGACCTCTGAAGGTGCTCTAGTGACCGACGCGAGAGGCCATGGCTGCGTCTGAAACCGCCTACTACTCAGTTGGTACTAAATTTGAATTTAAACATACTACATGGCCGTTAGAAAAGTACGTTATACAGTATGTATGTGAAAAGTATGAATGGAATTCGGACGTACTACATCCGCCATTTTGTCATGGTCATGTAACCTACTTGCGTAAGTTGCATCGCTTCACTTCCATTCATGAATTCACTCGCGAGGCATCATGGGATAGCACAGCGTGCATGGGATGCGCACTAGAATCTCGCTGAAAGTAGTAAGACATCCGGGTACTTCTCGCATACTGACTTTCGAATTCTATGAATTCGGACATTCTACTCTGCTCGCATACTGATTTTAGCGTACTATATAGTATGGAAGTATGCGGTTTCGGACGCAGCCCATGTCTTTAGCCTGCTTGTTAAAGAAACGGACTCCCATGCAAACAATCGCTGGTTCAGTCCCAGCTCAGTTATATCTTATATTTCAAACAGATACTCTTAAATAGATGAATAGTTTGGATATTTATGTTTCATAAATGCACCTTATTTAGTGTAATACATAATAAAATATTTAATATTGCTTGTTAATAACATTACAAATCAAATGTATAGTATATTAAAACAGTATAATCAAACAATCAAAAATGTTTATTGATAAAACAAATGAGTAACTAATAATAATGTTCATATTAATGTTGTATAATATTAAGCAACTGGATAATCTTTTGTTTAGCATAATATCATATTAAAATCACATTTAAAACATTTTGTTTTGCCAATAGTTGATAATTACATGTATTTTGTAATATATATATATATATATATATATATATATATATATATATATATATATATATATATATATATATATATATATATATATAT